TCTGAATATGGATAGCATTTTCTATCATGAGTCTTTTGGAATTGTCTTAGATCATTGCATTGCTGAGAAGAGCTAAGTCTATCAAAATTGGTCATCACACAGTGTCGCTGTTACTATGTACAACATTCTCCTCGTTCTACTCATTTCACTCAGCATCAGTTCATGTAAGTCTTTCCAGGATTTTCTGAAATCCACCTGCTCATTTCTTATAGCACAATAGTATTCCATTACATTCCATTACATTCAACTTGTTCAGCCATTCCTCAATTGATGGGCATCCTCTCAATTTCTATGAATAATGGTTTTTAAAAACCATGAGAACCAGATTTTTTGGTTGCTTGCCTCCTTATCCTCTTGGGATTTGTACAGGTTGTCTTTCTAGCCTCCCGCCCTCCCATTAGAACTAAGCTTCTTGAGCGGTGGGATTGTGCTATTTTCACTTTCATATTCCCAATACCTAGCAAGTAGGAAGTACTTAATAAATACTTGTTGACTGACTGACTACTAGGAAACATCATTTACAAGTGCAGTAGGTAAAAAATGTTTCTTAAATTGCATTACAGGCAGCTAGGTGGCATAGTGCATAAGGATCTAGACTTGGAGTCAGGAAGATTTGAGTTCAAATCCTGACGCTGGCACTTACTATCTGTGAATAAATCAGTTAAAATCTCTCAGCCTCAGTTTTTTTTTTTTTTTATCAAATGGAAACAGTGGTAGAACCTACCTCCCAGGGTTGTTGTAAGGATCAAAGGAAATAAAATACGCAAAATACTTTGCAAACTTTAAAATACTATATAAATGCTTGTGATTACTTTAAAAATTTTTACCTTCCCAACATTATGTGGCCTCCGCTTAGCATGATATAAATTATAAATGTTCAAATTAGAAGACAAGAAAAACCATTACATATATTTAATAATAAAGTCATGGTGTATATGTTAATATAGATGTTAGGGCTGATAAGAAGACACAGTCTTTCTCTCCTATCACATAATTGGAGTAATAGTCTGTTGAAAATCAGTGAGTGGGGCAGCTGCATGGCACAGTGAATAGAGCTCTGGCCTTGGAGTCAGGAGGACTTGAGTTCAAATCCAGCTTTAGATACTTAACACTTCTTAGTTGTGTGACCTTGGGCAAGTCACTTAACCCCGATTGACTCACCAAAAAAAAAAAGAAAGAAAAAGAAAATCAGTGAGCAATCCATTAGGAAATGACCGGTGACTTGATGGCATTGAAGAACACCAAACTAGCTGGTGCAATGAACATCCACTGATCCAAGGGCAACGATAGCATTGTTTTACAAGCATGTGTGACACAGGCAAAGGAAGGCTTGTTGAGAGTCTTTCACTTCAAACTTAATGTCTTGAAAATGAATTTCCTGTTTTAAAAGGGGATCCCAAGCAAAAGTCCCTGGCATCATACTTAAGACTAATAGAGGAAATCAATTCTGTTTGTTAAAATAAGCTAGAAGCTGGTTCTTCCTTTTTTCTTTAGATCAACAAGTATTTATTGAGCACCAGCTCTGTGCTGAGGAGTGTTCCACTGCACTCCATGGAAAAGACTAGAGAAGTAGAAAATGGAGGCCCCACCCCAACAAGGAGTTTACTGTCTAGACAGGGAGATAGCTGAAATCTTACCTTTGCCCAGCCTTTGGGTGTTTTCATGAGTTTAATAGTTTAAGTGCCAAGTATGGTAAGTGATTTTCCCCCCTTCGAGTTGTATAAGAAGTAGAAGGGAAAGAAGCTTATTAAATTACAGAAATTGATTTATTTGTAATACTATTTTCTAATACCTACCAACCTTTAAAAATATTTTTGCACCTTAAAAATAGCTCTTTCTATATTTATTTCCAACAAGGATCTCCTTGGCATCCATGTACATTCTTGTCAATCCCCTCGTAGTTTCGCCCTCATTTATACTTTCATTCATCTTCCCAGAGCTTAGGTATATTATCTCTGTTGACTTTTATAGCCATACATCTGTTTCATCATTCCTGTTCTTTCTCAGTCATTCAGTTGTGTCCAACTCTTCATGACCCCATTTGGGGTTTACTTGGCAAAGATACTAGAGTGGTTTGCCATTTGCTTCTCCAATGTATTAAGGCAAACAGAGGTTAAGTGACTTTTCCAGAGTCACACAGCTAGTAAGTGGCTGAGGCCAGATTTGGATTAAAGACTTCCTGACTCTATACCCAGTGTTCTGTCCACTAAGACATCTAGCTGTCTCCATGATCTTAGGCACGTATCAAATATTTTTCTTTTGTCTGCTTCCATAGAAGGCCAAACCCCCTCAAATGCAGGGACCATGAAAAACTTCCTATAGTATCTAGCATATCTATGAAATGAAGAATGGGAATTTGTGAGATGTTCATGTTAGAGCTTTCCTGGCATATCATGTGGTGCAAGATCAGGTGTCTCAAGGAGCCTTCAAGGATCTCCAAATAAATTCTGGGTAGGGAAAAGAAACATGGCCTATCTCTCCAAATAGTCACACCATTCTGAATGAATATAGCTGGCAATTTGAAGGAGAGAGCTCTGTAGACATCCATGTATCCTTCAACAAAGGGATGGGGAAGGAGTACTGGGGCTGGGCAGGGGGGAAGACCCCTGCTTAAGCTGGGGAAGAGGAAAGAGCTACATAATCTTCATGGAAATACTTTCAAAGAACTTATTTCCCATCCCTGCATCTTATATGCTCAATTTGATTATTCTCTTTCTATAATCTTACCAGTTATGTGATCTTAAGTTTTAACTATTATAGGGCTGCCTCTCTATACACTCTGCATGCCATTCTATCTCTCATTTTATTTAGCTATAATATGTTTAAAAAAAATAACAACAACAATATTATCAATTTTGGTACTCCCTTCTCCAATGCAAATTAAAATCTCCTTATGTTTTCTCACCCTGTGCAATTGTCATCCATGTCCATCAATCGCTCAACAACTATGTATTAAGCACTCACTATGTGCCAGGCCCTGTCCTAGGTCCTGGGGGTGCAGCTACAAATGTAGAAGAGGCCTTTCCTTTCTTGACTAATCATCTGTTATCATCCCTTACACTCGCTTCCTTGCCAACCCATCTCCTTTTCTGGTCATACGTATCCTTAGGTATGATATTGTCTAACACATTATTCTTATGCAAGTCATTTTGGGCCAGGTGCGACAGGTTACTTGCACGTACCATGTGTTTTTACATTTGGGTCAGTATCAAAGGATCATTGATTAGAGCTGGACGGGAATTGATTGGTTATCAAGTTCCACTCATTCTGGTTGCCTCAGTCCTTGTAAAATGAACTGAAGAAGGAAATGGCAAACCACTTTAGTCTCTTTGCCAAGAAGACCCTAAATGGAGTCACAAAGAGCCGGATACAACTGAAAAAAAAACAAACAACAAGAAATACACAACTTCTGTTGTGTGATTTGTATACCACAAAATATTCAGGAACAAATATCATTTGCATTTATTTATGCATTTCCCAAAGCAGCGTGTACTTTGAAGTTATGTCTTCAGAAAAAGGCAATTGTCTACTAATCTTCTTTATTTGGAGTGAAATTTATTTTTTTAGTTTACTGATGAAAACTTTCCAGATTTGGTCATTTTTTCCCCCCTCAAGCTGAGCTATCACCTACTGAAGGTATCACTTTTGTTTTTCCTCAAGTCTACAAAGCACTTGTGAAGGAGATATTTGTCACAAATTCACTTAAAAGTTAGATTCCTTTTTCATTGACCCTTGATTCAGTTCAGTTCAAGGAACCCTGATGCTGAGTTAAATTAGGAGTGGTGCCACCAAAATTACTTTCAGGTCAGGAAAATTTAATCAGAAAAGGCCTTGGTGGCTATAAATGGGTGGTAGCCATCTCTAATTCATCTTGTGATTCTATGGCAGGCTCAGAATTGCCCATATTTGTCTAGAGATCCCCTGAATGGACATTTGATCAAAGATGGGAAGAAACCTGAAGGTCAATTCTGTTTATTTCTGCTTCTTCCCACATCTAGGTCTCTTTAGTACTACTTGCTACTTATTAGTAGACTCTATATTTTTTTTTCATTATAGTTGGGGTTTTTGTGACAGAACCTTGGAGTGTATAACACCCTGTGGTTTTTAAGACAGTTTTTCTTTTGCATTTGGACTCCATTGTGAATGCTTCTGGTCAGGAGTCGGTTGGGATAAAGAAATTCTAAAATTAAAGGACACTTTAAAATGCCCAACATCATTCGTCTACGTCGTGATTTTTGAAGTTATTGCTTTAGGGAGAACTTCTGTTTTTCCTATACTGCTCTCTCATTTCTTTAGGATTACAAAAGTAAGAAGACGGAAGAATTCATTATTAAAAATCTTTCTCCATCCTGCTGCCAACTTCTTTCCTCCCACCTTTTCCCAAACTTCTATGCCTACATGAAAGAAAATTACTAGGTTTCTGTTTGTGGTCAGATATATACAGTAGAAAAATGTAGGAATGCAGGATCGTAGACTTAGAGCTGTAAGGAAGCTCAGAGGCTGTCTGGTTTAACCTCCTCATGTTACAGATGAGGAAACTGAGGCTTAGTGAGTAGAAGTAACCTGCCCACGATCACACAGCTAATGAGTATCAGAGGTAAGATTCAAATGCAGACCTTTCTGACTCCACGTCCAGTGCACTATGTAATTAGACATTCCACATGCGTATTTGTGAATCCCTTTATATCTGCTTGGCTTTCTGCTTTTTTAATTTCAGTCTCCTGCTGCAGCAAAGGCCAAAATCCACGATTCTTTTTAACGTCTTCTTTTACTTTTTGACACTGACTGAGGACAGAAGATGCTTTAACAGAGGTGGGGAACCTGAGGGCTGGCCTCAAGGCCACTTGTGGCCCTCTAGGTCCTCAAGTGTGGTCTTTTGACTGAATCCGAACTTATGAAGTTTGATTTCGCGTGTCATCGCTGGTTTCAAGTGATTATTAGGAGGTGAAAATCCTACTTCTCACTCCCTACCCACCATTTTTCCCTCTTTCATTCCTCAGAATTCCTTTTGCTCTTCTGTTCCCTGTGGCTTTGGAAGTGGAGGAACTGGGGTCACATCCTACCTTTGTCATCAACAGCAAGTAAGTAACCTTTTCGATGTTGTTCTCCTCTCTGGGTTTCCGTTTCATCATCAGTGAAATGAATAGTTTAGACGGCCTCTAATGTCCCTCATTCCTATGATAAAATACCAGCCAAACCATCCCAGTAGCGACCGGTTGGTAACCCTAGCCACGGATGAGTGTGTAATTGCAATTATATTAGGTGCTGAAATAAGCTTGGTGTTAATGCCCCAAACAAAATTAAACTTGGTTCTTTCTGAGGTGCTGTGGGTATGGGTGTGGAGAAATTGTGGGGAGGCTTGCTTACAACAGATAAGGAAAGAGAAAGGATGGTTATATATTTACATGAGAACTAGGTGATAACAGGGAAATGAAGCCAATGAGCACCTTTTAAAAAAAAATTTATAGTGGTAGAATTCTCTAATTTTATTTGTTTTTTAATATTGTTTTAATACTCCCAAGACTAAAATTATAGAATAAAAAGGACATAGGGCAAAGTGAACAAGTCAACTTTCAAAAAAAAAAATTGAAAAGAAAGAAATATTTAAATCTCATATAGATAAGATTGAGAGGTGGTTTAAACGGAAAATGTGGCCTTAGGACATAGCTTAAATCCTCCTTCTTTCCTTGTGTTTATCCACATGTTCTGCCCTCAGTGGCTTAGTCAGTCTTCATGCTAACATCTTAACCAAGACAAGAAGGATCCCAATAAAACATGATTACCATTATTGCTTGTTGCCCAAGTGAATGGTAATAACAACCTTAATCCTTAGAGAATTTCCTATTGCACAAGAAGGGAGATAGGAGCCTTAGCAGGATGCAAAACCTGGATGTATAGGTCGTAAGTCCGAGCTTTTACTGCTTTGCTAGGGTGTGTAGGATATTTGAATCTTAAGGGGAAAACAGAACTTAATTTTTCTTAGTAGTTTATTTTTCTTTCTGCCCGATTCCTGATTTTTTTCTGACTTGACCCACAGATGTTTATGTGAAGTAAAAGTAGTTCTTTAAAGAACAAGTTATTAGCAGAAAAACAGGAACATGCTTAAAAAGGGAGCCAATAATGCCCAGCCAAAGAGGAGGGGAATAACAAGGCTTCAGATTGGTCATTGTAAGTCATTGCAGTCTATGTCTCTCTGGCTCACATGTTCATCTTGCCTTCCATTCTTCATGGTCTGCAAAGACAAACTGCATCCTTGGCTGTTTCAGTCCCTAGCTCCTGCTCCAGATCCTAGGATTCCTCTTACTTCCTGATCTGTCTGTCCCTGTTTGTTTTATTATTATTTTTGCTTCTTAAAAAAAAACCTTTTAATATCAAATGTCATCTTTTTTGCTGCAGTCACTTGTTTTTACAATATTTCACATTGGGTCCACAAGATTTTAATATGTGTTCTTTCATTCTTCATCATGAAACCATACTTAACACAGTAGAAAATAAGCATACTTTTAACAGTTGATTTTTCCAAGTCTAGCCTCCATTATAGCCCATAGTTTTTTTTATTCTATTTTATTTTCATATCTGCATTCTCTCCCTTCCATGACCCTCTTCAGCACCTCCCCTTTTTGAGAAATCAAGAAAAACAAAACCCTGTTATAAACATACATATTCAAGCATAACAAATTTCCACATTGACCATGTCCAAAAAAAAGGTCTCATTCAGCAAAAAACTAGGACTTTAAACTTAACCATACATTATTAATGCCTTTATACAATTCATGCCTTCGAAACACAAATATAGGCACTTGCTGAACCTGTGAGTATAATGACGACTTCCTTGAACTTATATTACATAGGTACTAGAGGGTGGGGTGTATGGGGTGTTCAGGGAGGACTAGTACCTCTGGCGTGAGGACATGCCAAGACCTTTTCAAGGTTGCTCATCTACCTTTGGTGTCCACCTGTAATCCAACTCTCTCACCTGTGACTCCAAGAAGCAGTAGCATGTGCAGTAGTCATACCCCAGTAAACCAACTATCTCAGCAGGTAGACTAAACCAGGTTGAAGATGACCAACAGGCTTTGGTGAGTTAGGGGCATGTCTACCCCAAACATGTAAAGACTTCTCCTGGCAGAATGGGCAGACAAGAACAATTTGTTCCATAGGCCATGAAGGCAGCTGAAGTAGGCACTGTGAAATACTTACAGCTTGGTCAAACATTGAAGATGCCAAAGTCATCCAGGGCATCCCAAGCCATATTACCAAGTCATCCTGATCTTTGTTCTGCCATTGGACTTCGATGATTCTGGAAGAGAGAGGGAGGCTGAAAATTTGTACAACTCAAATCAAGATATCACTCATTGATGATGTCATTGGTCTTCTTCAAAATACAACAACAATAATTAATGTGTTCAGATATAACTAAGAAATCGCTCCAATGGAAACTTTGCTGATACCTAGAGCATTTGAAAACCATGGAGCAACAAAGACAGGATTGGTCTCCAACTGTCTTCTGTGAAGTCTTCCTAGTACTCTTAAATGTATAGAATTAGATAAAATAAGTGACAGCCATTCCACTTCTTCACTACTCAGTTTGTGTTAAAAGGGTAAGTAGGGTATGGTGTAGAAAGAATTAGGACAGAGGGAGGGTTTGGAAAATGCAGTGGCTTATGCTTATGGCTTAAATATAAGGTATTTGGGATAATAAAATTTATGTGAAACAAAGATGCGCTAAAAAATTCTGTAAATAATGACCCAACCCTCCCCATTATAGAAGATTTAAAATAACCTAAGTCATGTAATAGATACACAGGTTATGGATCAAATCCCAGCCTCTGTAAGTTTATTTTTTGAAGAGAGAAAAATAAAGAATATTCAACAAACAACCAAGAAAAAATCCAAGCTACTCACCCTTCCCCTTTAGCAATTCTAACAAAATAAAGACATCTTCATTATTAGAGGAAAAGAAAGTATTAGTGCTGATCCCAGCAGGGCTGCTTTACAGAAAGAAACCCTCTATAGGATGCTAATCAGGCCCATTCAGAAAAGCCTTAATTAATTTAATTAAAATCTGTCAGATCAAACTGATTAGCTTGATATCCAAGCCTAAGTTGAGAAAGCTGGGCTGGTGGGCAGCTGCTACTGAGGTGGGCTTAGCTTTCAGTAAGAAGAGAGGGATGGTCTCTGAGGTGATCCATGCAACCTGCCTTGTGCTTCCATTGGAATAAAGTCAATCTAGTTTCCTTTTCTTTCCCCTTAGTTTAACCCATGTCTTCACTGAATTGCCCAGGTAAAGTGGGTAGCTTGCTCTGCTCTTATGGGAGAAGGGTAGACAGGTGACTTTACTTACCCCTTTGATAACTGAATTCCTGATTGAGCATTTTCCATCGCTGGCCATCCACTGTCTCAATCATTGTCCATGGCCACTAACACACTAGCAGAAAGGAGACAAAAGCCAGGTCATGTGACCCTCCTGATAGCACTATTGACACAGACAGCTTTCACAGATCCACATTTTAGCTCTGGTAGAGCAGCCAGTGCTCTTTGTGCTATGAAGAGGGAAAGCCCTGCTCAAGGGCAGGACTCTAGAATATCCTGTGGGGAATCACTTTTCATTAGAAGATTCTGGAGGGGAAAAGTGAGTATTTCATCTACAATGGGAGATGTTCTTTTTCCTGCAGTTAGGAAGCAAGTGACTTGGATGTTAGGAAACCCATCAAGCTAACCCAACTTCCACTGGGGTCCTGACTAGACTTCTTTATGATAGTAAGAGAGGAGAGGCAGTATGGCATAGGGGATGGAAAGCCACCAAGACTTGGTCTGGGTTCAAATCCTGCATCTGACACAGATTGGTTTTTGCCAAGTTAGTATTCTGAGAAGCTGTCTAAGACTTGAAGTTACAGAGAAAGATTGGACCCACATTGGTACTGAGAGTTCCCTATACCAATGAAATCACAGATTCTCTCTCTCTCTCTCTCTCTCTCTCTCTGCATGTATACATATATAGAATGCTTATATATGTATATATGAAAGAATATATTAGCATATACATATTTACCTAGAACATATCAATATACAAAGAATAGTTAGGTAGATAAATATATTCTTTCTTGAAAATATAGTCCTAGAATCCAAGTAGGATTACCCCAAGGATCTGGCAGTCCTTTGGTGATTGGCAGGTCAATTGGTGGGAAAAGCAAACATTACTTACTAGAGATATTATTTACTAGGTACCATATAAAGCGATTTCTTGAGACTCTCTCCCTTTCTATAGGGGCTATTTGTGAAGAAAATCGTAAGTTCTCACCTAAGTGTCCTAAAACTTTGATGATATCACATGTACACAGTATCAGTTCTGATTTCTCTTCTGGGACCCATAACCTAAAAGAAATAGAGTTGTTTAACCTTGAATGGAGGATTTCATAAATTCCTTTTCTTACTTTGAGCAACAAACTTTACTATGGAGCACATCAATCTTGAATGACTGCATATTCATTCTTGGTTATAGCTCTAGTAGCCTCAATTCATCTCTAACCAGTTACTTCAGTTTTCAGATCAGTGGTAGAGATAGTTATGAATAGTAGCTAGGCAGGATGAGACAGAAGCTTGTAAAAATATTTTACTTTGAAAGTGACAAGTGCCTTTGGTTGTTGTATGCATATGATGACAAACACAACAGTCCTTGGTCAGTAGACAGTTGAGAATTACCTACTTTCCCAATCACAGGGAGTACCTGTGGCTAATCAAATCCATACCCATTGGCCTATCCAAAGGGGTTTATTAAGTGAAGAAAGAGTTAAGTCTTTGCTTTCGAAGTGGTGTCTTCATAGGATTCCTTCCAATGTTTGGTTGAATTTATCACAGAATACACCTAGTGGGTTTGCAACTACAGCATTCCCTCCTATCACTTCATTCTTTGAAATTCGTTGTCCCTTTGTTACAATCACGTATGATGGTGTCAACCACGGAACCAGAATTACACAGTTACTAAAAGTAAACAGTAATAAACATTCATAATATACAGGGTAGAGTAGAAATTCTGGACTGAGATGTAGAAGAGCTAAGGAACTAGCC